CTAGATGTAAGAATAATGACAGGAATTTAGCTTTATACATCTAAACTAGACCTTAGATTTTGGTACATGGATTGAAAGCACCTTGTATTGAATCTACCCAGATCTAGATATAACCATACTTCATCAATTCTAGATTTAGATTTATTAGACCTAACTTTTTAAAAAAATGTTACTTCTAGATCTTTTAACTTTGTCATTAGATCTGTCCCAGTGCAATGCCTAGTTTAATAGTTAGTACAGGTCTAAGTATGCCTATAATATAGGCTACAATTTGTATGATGATGGACCTAGGGTATAGAAATAAAGTTATAACTGCAATTAGACCTAAAGTCTAGTACATTAGTTGGTGTAAGACATGATTTACAATCAGCCAATACAATTACAAACCACTACATTAGACCTATAATGTTTACTAGATCTAGACCTTGCCTGTTGCATATATCGCAAATCTTGCACACCAGTTAATGTGTTACACCAATCTCGTATTTTCTTTTTGTTGAATATACATTTACTTGTACGTTGTACTCTAGGACTTGTATTTGATCTACAGATGAATGATGGAATAGTGTAATTTACTTCTATACCTCAATTCGGTCTCACTGTATTTCAGTGGGCGGCTTTTAAAAGTTAAAACTGAAAGCGTAATACACACAATTAACGTAACACTGAGTGGTATTTACTTATTGTAGAGCAGTTGCGCTATATCCTAGGGGAGGGCATAATTATTAATTAATAGGCATTATAGGCCAGAGAAAATTTTGCGCCTCTTCACACCTATGCTAAGTCACTGCAAAATAGTCCTCGAAACTGGGTGAGAAACGATTATTTAGAATATACTTTAAATGGTAAAAGAATAGTCAACTTGTTGCTCATATTACAACAAGTACTACGCTACATGCAAGTCTCTAGACTAAATTATTGTTACGTCTCTGTTCGTTTGTTAATTTCCCGTTAAAATTCTTTATGAAGAACTTCAGCGATACAAGTCCTTTCTTAATTAAAACTGGTTTATTCTTTCTCGTTATAAACTTTGTAATACACGTAATTTCCACAGTCACTTTAACTTCAACACACGCTATAATTCACAACGACTCACGCATTTTACTTACTGTTACTACCGCTCACTTGACTCAATTATCTGTCTCTATATCTCTCTATCTGCTATTATTATCTCCCCTTTATTTGCCGGGCTTTTATATTAAAATAGAGGGCGTCTGGCAAACACTCGAGCCTTCATGATCTTTCTAGAAACTCATCATGTGTTACCAGCGTCACTTGACTTCGGCTGTCGTAAAATTATGAATTATTGTGTACTACAAGTAAATATCTAGACCATATTAAAACTTTCATTTATTACAGAAATGTATACAGACTAAAATATGACATACGGTAACTGCAAATAACTATATAGATATCATGAATGAAACCAACATTATAACTATATACAACATTACAGACGTTATTCTAGACCAGCGTTTCTCAAACTAGGGCCTACGAACTTCTATGGGTGCGCGAGTCATGTCCGAAATTTCATAAAAATATGATTCATAGAAAAAAAATATATTTCGTAAAATTAAATGTATATTATTTAAAACATTTAATTTTGGAATACAGCTTTTCATGAACACAGAATGTTTTGGTTTGGGGGTCAGCAAAAAAAATCCAATTAAAAAGGGGTCCTCGAGCTACTACAGTTTGAGAACCGCTGCTTTAGACTACACTATAACATAAGAAGCATTTCAAGTAACTATTTAGGGTCCAGTCAATCTACCACAATCATTTGTCTAAATCAAAGAAAATTGCAAAAAAAAAAAATCATGGTCAAAAATTGTACTTTAGATCATATCAAAAGTACAAGGAAATATAAGTCAAAGAACATATTTATTTTCGGAAAAAAGTGCAAAATAAAAAAAAACTAGAAAATGTAACTACCTTTATCCAATTTAAAGCAATGATATCAGCTTTGGTTGCATGTGATTCAGAAAAATAATTTTAACAAACCACCAGTCGGTTTTCTTTCTCATGAAAAAAGTCGTTGGTTTCGAAATATGGCCAGTAATTTGTGAGTCTGTCAACTTCGTATTCTTGTTTACAATCTTATACGTCGTAACATGAAATATACTTAGCTTTATTGCAATGGCATTTTGAGTGAGAAGGTTCACTTTCGTAACCATAGCCTTCACTTTGCGGATGAGCTCTGGATTTGACCTGATGTGTAGTTTTAGAGCTCATTACTGTTCTAATGATCTGATGTACTAGTTTTCTCACCCTCATGGAAAACACTGAAGTCTCGTTTTTAAAATGTTGTGTTTTTTTTACTTTACATCGTTTAACAATATCGCTATACAAATATACTTTCTTGGAAAGAGGTGTGAGATATAGAGCCACCAATAAGCTTTTCTTTGAAAAGGCTGTAAGAAAACCCCACGCCATACGTCTTTCGATGGGGCTATTGCACTGTTAAATGGTTGGGAATTCGTCGAGAGCCAAGTATATTGATGTTAAAAAATGTATTTCGTGGCCTCCATGTTCGCACGTGAACGAACACGCCATATTATAATGGTGTTTTTGAAATTCGTTACTACAAAGTATGATTATTGATATATAGAAGAATAGTTTCATTTTCATCCAAATAAGGTTCTACTGGAAAATAATTGTTTGCTAGAATTAAGTCACTGTAAGATAAGCTTTACAGTACTGTTTGATCGTTTTTGTTTAAAATTTTTAGGTACATCTATCACATTTTGAGTATGGAAATTAAATAATCTATATGAAGTGACTGGATGGAGTATATCATACGGTTGCTAATACATCATTTAAAAAAACGTTAAATTTGGATCTATTCCATGAGAATTTTAATGATCTTCATAATAATCTGTATATCAGGCTTAGAGGAATTTTGACCCCTCCGCACTCTTCACTGAAGTCATACATGTTGCAGTTTCATCAAAGACTAGAACAGCTTGCCTTACAATTGAAATTTATAACATTAAGAAGGGATTTTGGTGCTGAAGGTTTTGTATTGTGTGCATCTGCCCATTTTAACACTCATCCCCAAACCTCAGGATTCGTGTGAGGAACACCTTTCTTCCACTCCTAAATCTGTTAATAAACATGTATTCTGTGGTACTTTGTTGCAGAGGATGTTTGTGCATGAATGTGGGATCACAGATACGACGTTCCAGAAACTACTTTTCATAGAAATGTTTGTGACGAAGTGTGTTTAACCACTCTCTTGGTACTCTGTTGCATAAAATAAGCAAAGGCCTTTCTTTAAGTATGTTTAACCACTCTCTTGGTACTCTGTTGCATAAAATAAGCAAAGACCTTTCTTTAAGTATGTTTAACCACTCTCTTGGTACTCTGTTGCATAAAATAAGCAAAGGCCTTTCTTTAAGTATGTTTAACCATTCTCTTGGTACTCTGTTGCATAAAACAAGCAAAGGCCTTTCTTTAAGTATGTTTAACCACTCTCTTGGTACTCTGTTCCATAAAACATACAAAGGCCTTTATTTCCAACTGTTATAATTTCATATCTCGGTACATTTTGTATCGTGAATCCCACGTAAAGGCTATGTTGATATCAATGAATATTGGCTATAACATTTTGTTAATGGCATCCTTCATAATGTAATGAAAAATCGGGAATAATTTTACGGATGTCATGTAAAAGACGATTCCTTTCTACATTCACTCAGATTTTGAGAAGTAGGTCGTCTAGATGGTTTAAAGAAAGACGACTTTTATCTCTGACTTTTGGAAAAATCTCTGGGCAGTACAAGCACATATAGAATGACCAAGATACCATGAAATATATAATATCACGTTTTTATAACATCCTTGCAAGAAGGAGAAATTAAATGTCATTTATATGTATGCCTTTTAGTCGTGTGAAAGACGAATCCTTTCTTTGTTCACCCAAGTTTGGAAAACTAGGTCGTCTTAATGGTTTAAATAAAGACAACCTTTATGACAGACTTTTGGAAATAAAATCCCTGAGCAGTAAATAATAAAAGGAATTTATATAAAATAATAAAGGCATCGTAAAGTATATAATGTCAGGTTTTTATAACATCATCTGAAGAAGGAGAAACCCAATGTTATTTACATGTATGCCTTTTCCTCTTGTACCTCAGCGCAGGAAGATAATTAATTTATAGTAAATTATATTTGTTACAAAACAAACATTAATGGGTTTATTGTATTTTTAAACAACACATATATTATCTTGTCCCTTAGGAGTTTCCCAACGGGAGAGAGAAAAAAAAATAATTAAAACTTGTGTTTGTTTTAGGATTTCGCACGTTGCTACAGAAGGGTTATCTGCGTATTCACAGTTCGAACACTACAATAACTAGGTGTCGCCTGTCCAACACAAATATTGAGCGAAACACAATCTAGAATATTTAAGAACTTACAACTTATATTACCGGTTACAAGGAAACAGATATAGGAATATTTAAGATCTTAGCATTTTATACTGCCGAATACAATAAACAGATATAGAAATATTTAAGATCTTGCACCTTATACTGCCGAATACAATGAAACAGATATAGGAATATTAGGGATCTTGCACCTTATACTGCCGAATACAATGAAACAGATATAGGAATATTTAAGATATTGCATCTTATACTGCCGAATACAATGAAACAGATATAGAAATATTTAATAACTTACCTTCTTTGACAGATGCTCTTCGAGACATTCGATATTTTGTCGCAAGTCTTTTGTAGCTATATGAAAAAAGTATAATTGTAACTGCATACACTTAAGCAGTGATGTAAACAAAAATTAATTGTTTATATTACATCCGAGAGAATACGATGCAATATTTACATATCTACGTAATTTCATACACATTATATTTATGACAGAAAACTTGAAACAAGCTGATATTATGAAAAGAATAAGCCGCGTTAAACTGGTGGGGCTGCAGACTATAAGATACTAGATTAACGGTTCTTTTAGCCCTAATCTTGATGTTCATGAAAAAGTAACTGACCAGAAGATTACATTTAGACAGTATAAGTGTTATGGAAATGTTTATTCTCATTCTTATAATAACGCCACCCCAGTGGCACAGCGGTATGTTTGCGCTCTTACAACGCTAGAAACCGGGTTTCGATACCCGTGGTGGGCTGATCACAGATAGTCCTTTGCGTAGCTTTGTGCTTAACTTCAAACAAACAAAACTTATAATAATACGAATGAAATACATAGATCTACTATGTTATTTCGTGTTGTTTGCTGTGAAATTTGTTTTTTAATTACACATGTTGTGACTAGCTTGAGTTTGAATTATTACGACAGACACTGAGTTATAGTATATCTAGCAATATTGAAACCGTTGTTGTACACATGCAGTGTTAATGTTTATAACTTCAAGAATATGTTAATGAGTTTGGAAGTTAGAATAAAAGCAAAACTCCAAACAACTGATCAAAAACTCCCTGTTTTACATACATTATTGTAAAATCAGTCTCAAAGTTAGTTTTAGTTTTGACTAATTGGACGCATAATAGTAAATACATCTTAGTCCGCGAAATATTAATCCAAATTAATGGTGTTTTGAAACACAGTAATTTTCGTTGATTTTCTTTGTTAAGATATTCTGTGAATGTTTAATTAAGTAAGACGATAGCACTCTGGTTTATTATACACTATTCAACATTCTACAATATGTACTGAAAACATAGCAACTATCATAAGTAGAATATTTATACTAAGTGTAGCTTAAATGTATATTCTAATATTTCTCTTTTTAAATTGAATATCTTCAGTTAAAAGATGTTGTTTCAAAGGGTACGCTTTCTTACGTCGTTAGAACGTCACGTGTCCCAACTGGGCACAAGAATGGTTGAATCCCCTACCAGGTGGCTATCCATTAAAATAAGTATTTACCGCTGCAATCTGGCACAACTTCTAGTAAAGATATTTCAGTGCTGTCAGAAAGTAATGTTATGGGATAGTCTTTAATATTGTGAATAGAAATGAGATGTTAATTCAGTTATGGATTCGTGAGAAACTTATAATGTCATGCTTGAATAGTTTAAACCAGTGTAATTCGGCTCGATCCTTTACATCAAAATCATAAGCGTGTTTTGGTTTGTTTGTAATTAAGCACAAAGCTACACAATGGGCTATCTGTCCTTTGCCCACCACGGGTATCGAAACCCGGATTCTAGCGTTGTAAGTCCGCAAACATACCGCTATGTCACTGGTGGGGGGGGGGTTGGTTTTCCTATACACTAACTGGTTTACCCACCTTTTCTTTTTGTTAGATTGAAAGGATAAGACACTTTCTTGTATCAAGATATCTTTATATTTAATTTGGAAGAATATGTCTATAGTGTTATTTATGCTTTATCTTTCGCATGCTGAAATTTAGTTTTTTAACGGAAAATATAACAAGAACAGTATTAAATGTTTAGATATATAATCATCAACCCATATTGATAACGTTTTGGTGAGGCTTGTTGTACTTTTTGGAACATGTGTTCTTAAAACTCTAAAGGCGCGGTAGAGACTTCCAGCCAAATTAGAAGGTGGAGTAACACTGCCGTGATTATATACCACGACCGAAATTTGGGCCAAAACTGAGTATTAATTTTTGTTTGTTTGAAATTAAGCACAAAGCTACACAATGGGCTATCTCTGCTCTGCCCACCACGGGTATCGAAACCCGGATTCTAGCGTTGTAAGTCCGCAGACATACCGCTGTGCCACTGGGGGGGCGTTTGGTTTATCTGATTATCTAGTGAATGCACGTTATGTTTTAATCTGGCTGTTACGTAGAAAAATTTTCTATAATCGTCCTTGCATGTTATTTTTATCTGGTTTTATGTATGAAATTATACTTACTCTTTGTACTTTCAAAATTTGTAGTGCATACTGAAGGGATTTACACGTTTTGAAAAAACGACCTTTAAACGTTCCGTCTTTTCGTGTGTATATTAACCCTGAGGAAGCCGCAAAGGCGAAACGTTGACGACTGCGCATCTCGACAATAGCTCTGCAGCGTAATTTTCATTGCAAAAGGTTCTATCATAAGGCTGTCGTTTCCAAAGCACGTAAATTCTCTCTGCAATGTTTGCATAATCAATCTAGTTTCGCATTTGCTTGTGTATGTTAACCCTGAGGAAGCCGCAAATGCGAAACGTTGGTTAAAATAATAATAAAATATTTTGTATATCTGGAGTGTAAAGGTCGTTATTTTTTAAACAGTTTTACTCTTTTAGGCCATTATTTTTATATGGTCCTTATACAGTAAACACCTTTGTTTGTGTAGTGCTCTTTCTCACGCAAACGTTTTTTCATATCTGTTGGTATTTCTACATAAAAATTCAATTCATTTGAAAATTATTAATGCTATTATTTATTAATTTCGATAATTATTACTTTTAATAAAAATCTCGTGTAATAACTTTATCGTTTGTGTTATGAAATTACAATTTAGTCTCACCTTTGTTACTACAAGAGTAGTCATGCTCATAGTTTTTTAGAATACAGTTTTTAACCACAATAGTTTGACCATAACATAAATTCTGCAACATACATTTGATTCAAACTTGGAACCATAGCGTACACATATTTATTGCTTCACCATAATATCTTGTATCGTTACAATGTTTATAGCCACATCTCGGCAATAGCCCTGCAGCGTAGTTTTTATTGCAAAAGGTTCTGTCGTAAGGCTGTCGTTTCCAAAGCACATCAATCCTCCCTGCAATGTTTGCATAATCCATCTAGTGTCCGAGGACGATGGTTTCCCAGCATTAGTTTCAACAGTCCGAACGCACAGAGATCCATAGACAACTTGACCAGTATGTCTTCTTGTGGAATAACATGAATACCCGTTTCATTCGCCAGCTGTTTGAGGTATACAACAGTTGAACGGCTATTTCGTGAAAGAAACTTGGATAATCGTAATTTGCATAGTTTTTCTAAGTGGAGATCCTTCTTGATTATGTTGAGAACTGTTGCCTGGTTCACATCGACGACTTTCGCTATTGATCTTGTATTCGTGGATTCTCGGTTATTACAAGACGCCAATCTTTACTTATCATGTTTAGAGTACGACTTGCAGCAGTTCTATTTCTGGATGTTCTTGGTTTTCCAAGTTTATTCATTTTCCTATATTTGCCAATGACTTTAAGTTAAAGAAATCCCTCGTCTTGAAAATTCTAAATCCCTGATATGAACACATCTGAATGTATGAACATTTTTCGTAGGGAAGAAATACTTGATACCCTTCCAAGGAAAGACTAATTTTTCGATGGTATTACATTAACTATTTACGAAACACCAAACAACGTCAAAATATAGTTCTGATACATTCTTTTTCACCCGGCTTTATATCGGTTGTGGTTGTCACGTGACTTGGTGTTTTCCATGTTAAAAATCATTTAAAACGTACTCAACCCTCTGTAGTATGTGTCGTAATTATGCGTAAGTAGAGAGGCTTATGCCATCTCCAAATCGCACTTCAACCTAAAAGCTTAAATTATTTGATAATCCCACATCAATACAATAGCTTGTGCTATGTTAATAAATGCCTTACAAGAGCTTACGTATTAACATAATCCTGCTTCTGCAGAAGAACCTATATTATGTCGTATATTTACTTCATTACTATAGCTAATCTTCTTTCGTTTTGGTCGACCCTTTGTTTTCGATAAATTCACCAAATGGAAGTCTTATTTTTATCAGTAAAATAAGGACCATAACCTCGGAGAGCATATTGCTTATTTAGGGGAGATAAGATAAACACATTATTTGCCATTTTATGTTCTATATTTTTTAAATATTTTTTAGAAGATTGAAGAGGTAATGCCTTCAAATAAGAAAATAACAAAATAAATTCTTACCACAGAGTTTATAAACAAGAGACAGGACGTCGTATACAGTGGGCGCTCTATGAGTCCGAACCCAGGTCGTCAACACACACACATATAAAATTACAACAAGCTTTTCCATTGTCAGCGTTTAGTTTCCACCCCTGGGCTAATTTACCGCCTTTTATGATGCTCCAGTATGTTACGTCATTATGTCGTCACAAGGAAATATTTTTTTTTGGACAATGAAGCGAGTCTTACTGGAAAGTAATTTTCTCAACATAGTGGAGTTAACAAATAAGCATACTACTGACAAAAGAACTTTAAAAAGTTTGTAATATTATTCCTTTATGAAATAATTATTAGAGAAAATTTAAATTAATTTTCTTGCCTCTATTAATATATTTTTTTAAATACTTAACCTCTTCTTCCTCTTTTACCTACTACTATTGATGAGAAATGGTCTCATTTGATGGTCCAGTTTTAATTTCAGATATCTCTCGAGTACGTATATCTAGGTGATTCTTGCAGTTTTAAGCCCATTAGGCCTAACAAACTACCGATTGTTTGTTTGTTTTGAATTTCGCGCAAAGCTACACGAGGGCTATCTGCGCTAGCCGTTCCTAATTTAGCAGTGTAAGACTAGAGGGAAGGCAGCTAGTCATCACCCCCGCCGCCTACTCTTGGGCTACTCTTTTACCAACGAATAGTGGGATTGACCGTCACATTATAACGCCCCCACGGCTGAAAGGGCGAGCATGTTAGGTGGAACGGGGATTCGAACCCGTGACCCGCAGATTGCGAGTCGAGCTCCCTAACCACCTGGCCATGCCGGGCCCAAACTACCGAATGCTATTATTCAAGCATTTTTTAGTGTGTCTCTCCATACCGAACAAATTCTATTTAAAAAACTTGATAAGAACAGTTTTCTAGTGGCGTTCGTAGCATGTCATGGGCTCCATAGCAAAAAAGAATGAGTCGGGTCAATTTGCCTTTCTTTATTAACATTTAAAATACCGACTAGGTATGTATACTCACTAAATCCTAGTTAAAACGCCCCTGTTCAATATTTCATGACAGTGAAATCATCCACACTTTTACCTCTGCTGAAGTTTCTTACTCGTGCTTGTTCTATGTTCTTGTGATGTTTTAACTATCTTAAGTTTGGAAAACGATATCTCGGCAGAGACAGGATTGGTTAAAACAGGCAGTGCAAATGTCAGGAAATGATGACGCTAAGGCAGTATTTTCAACCAAACTCAACAGTTCTGTCGATGCCAATCATTTGTAGACTTTTGACCAATCGGTGACTGTGGATTATTTACTTGTGCGTAAGGTAAGAAAGATTTTTGTTACTACCTTTTTTCCTGCCCTGAGCCCCCTATCAATGCTATGGCTGCTACAGAGCTATGTACGTCACTGCAGTTTTCACTAAATTCTGAGGGCAGGTATAACAGAGGCATGACATAACTTTATTTGAAAAAATAAATAAATAATGTGATGAATTGAAAAAATAATTTTAAGCATTAATATTGTACAAATGATATCTTATTCGCTTACTTGACATTTATGACTTACTTCAATACACACTTCTGAAATAAAAGATCGACGAATTTCTTGACTACTCTATCGAAATTTTGTTGTCATATTGCATATGCAGTTTCTACATAAAACAAATTATTCGTACAATAAACTCATTTAAATAACATGCTATCAAAAGATACTTATTTAATTTTAAGGCTACGCAATATAATGGGCTATCTACGGTGTGTTCACTGCAAGAATCGAACAACGAAATTTAGAACTGTAAACATTCAACTTACTGCTGAGCCACCAGGTGGGGCTTAAAAGACACGAGTAAATTTCTGTTTACAATTTGCATTCAAAGTTTGTGCTTTAATCTCGAAATGATCTGGAGTTTTATCTTACCGGTTATTGAAGTTTCATTAACGATGTTATTATAGTAGAAGCCCCTCAGTGGCACAGCGGACTTACAAAGCTAGAAACCTGGTTTTCATACCCGTGGTGAGAAGAGCACAGATAGCTCATTGTGTAGCTTTGTGCATAATTACTAACAAAAATGTAATTATAGTAGAATTATTTTATAAGTGGTCAGATTTAGAAATTGTTCTTCATGTCACAATATGAATATTTTCTAGAACGTTAAAGTACATTTATAATAAAATTATGTTAAATTGAGTGGAAAATATGTACTTTGCTCCTCCTATTCCCTAACAGTGGTTTCATAAAGCACATTAACGAATAGTTAGTAGTTTTATTTCACTCCCAGTAAAAGTTCTCCAGTACTAGACTATCTATTTAGTTCTGGTTTTAGATTTCTAATGGCTAATTTCTCTTTAATTCATGATAAATAGGATAAATAACTTCACGATGAAAAGTTAAAACTTTACTTACAAACTGGGATTTAACACTTCCTGTTGGACTTGACACTAAACACGTAAAAGTGTGTTGTAGACGGTTATCCATCTCGAACTCTAATGAGAAATAACCGAAAATATTGGCAGTAATTTTGATTTAATATCATTCAGATCTCGAACGGGTCCGAGAGATAATCAGGGGCACTCAGAAAATTTTGTTTCTCTTCTCCCAGCTCGCAGATTTTTGGATAAATTCCTAACTGAGTACTTATTTTTAGCTGGAGATGGAGGAGGCTTGGTGGCTACGGATAGATTTTATACGATTTTAAGTTTGAAGTGTGTTTGACACATGGGTTGAGTATCGGCAGCTGCACAGAAAGATCATACAATTGGTGGCTTCAAGACATCAGAGAAAGCCGGAAGCTGTGACAAGAACAGGAAGGAGATATTTCGTGATGAGTGGTGCGTGGTAGAGGCTATAGATACCGCAATATTAGTGGACCAAGGCTGTGAATGTGAAAAATAAATAAAACGGGACTTACTTTATGTAGATCATGTTTGTGCACTTAGGATCTTACCCTTAGGCCCTGCACAAGCCCTCTTTTCAGTCCATAGATCATGGAGAGGAGTTAGTTCCATTAGATGAAAAAATCATTGTCCATATGGAAGGGTGTTAAAGTTTGGAACGATGTGCCGTTTGGTGTAAACTGGACAATAAATCTTCTTTCCTTCCTTGTTGTAAATGGTCTGAATTTTTAAATCTTCTTATGATTAGTCATAGTTATAGGAGGCTGAGAAGGACTGGATATATCTGTCATCTTACACTTCATTGTTGAGAAGTTTAATTTTTTGCAGTTAAAAAAAATGGGGATAGTGGTGTTTAGGACCACTACTGACCCACAATGTTATATAGTGACCGCCCAGCTCGTCCAACTTACCAAGATAATCTCCTACAGGTGGATTGTTAGATACGTCTAAAATGTAGATAATACTGTTTGTATCATAATACAATACAGACAAACATAACATCTCTAGTGTATGATATAATTTCAAACGAGCGTGTGCTGTTGTCAAAGCTGCCAGAAACATGCTGGTTCGATCTTTCTGGGACGGATATTCATACTTACGTTTCCAATGAAGAGTTATTACTTCATTAATCAGTGTAACATCTGTTATTATCTTAGTGTTATCATTCATTAAGAAGTGATACTCTTTAACAGATGTTACATAGGTAAGTTGTGGTTTGTCCTCAGGCATATGTCCCCAAAAAGAATCAAGGTATAATTTTGTAAGTGACCTTTTTCTTGGATTAAAGGTTATGTTTTCTTGGGTCAGTTTCACCCCTTCATTTTCGTTATACTGGGCAATGTAATCCTCTTTTGCTTCCAATGTTACACAGTGAGAGTACCAATCAGAAGTTTATTGGTTGAATTTAAGGAATTTATTAATATAGTTCTTAAAATGATCTCTAGACTTAATAGGAAAATGATAAATCTCGTAAGTTCTTATTACCTGGCATCCACACTCGACTGCTTTTTTTTTTTACTTCTTCTGTGACCCAGGTACTGATGAAAGTTCTCGCAGCGGTTACATGGTGGTGGTGATCTGGATTCCACACATGATTTGCATAAAGGAAAAGTTAGTTTACCATTACTTTGGGGCTAGAATTTTACATTTTATGAATCCAAAATGGTTTTTAAATCAGAGAAATTTGTTGTTATAATTGTATGATGTCCAACCAGATACTCACAGTATTTCTTTGCCCATGGATATTGTGATGTAAAGTTCATGTACTTTATTTTTTCTCCTTTTATATATTATATATAAAAGCCTTGTCACGTTGATTCTCCCTCCATAGAAACCATCTTGTACATCCAGGTGGGAATCTACCATATAATCCTTAAGGAAATTCATCAAGTCCAAATCATTAGATTTCATTTTCTTAAAATCATATTCCCATATTGTTATGAACCCTAGAGCTTCATGTTATCTTTCTAACAACCCACAGGGGTCTAGTTAGAACTATATTCTGTGTATCAGAGTCATAACGTGTATTGTATCTATGGTAGAGGCACCTGTAAAACTCATAGATTGTGTTTTGTTCCTTACTGAATCCGTCTACGATATAATTTAGGATTTGTTTCTTGCCACAATTACGTGCGTGTTGGATCTTGACCCCCTCAGATTTCTGTATTTAAATTAACCATTGGATACTTACTTTGCTGTAGTTGTTGGTTTTAAAGTGCCCCATATTCTTGATTTGATTTTATGTTGAAAATATGCGGGAAGTATCCTTTCTGTAGTTTTTCTAAACCAAAGGTTTTTGAGAACAATGATAATCCCATGAGTATGAAATTACAACTGTTGATTATTCTAATTTTCAGACTTTGACGGTCATCTTACTACAATGGACGTAGCGTGTATGTCAGTATCTATGTATGTAACCAAAACTTCTTTGCCATCCATTGAATGGCACC